TTTTTTTCTTTCTTAAGGAAAAAGACATATTTTCCCAGATAGGAAAAAATTAGCAGCTCACACTTAAATATGTACTGAATGCAAAGGTCTTATATTGTTCTGTATGTTTGTGTGCATGTGTGTGTGGAGAGACTCATTTAATTAGAAGACCAGTTTTCATGATCCCATGCTGCTGACAGTTTCCAAACACGCAGGACTGTTATTAAAGAAGACATGCAGGCTGAGAGATCTAGCTGATCTTGGGTTCTGGCCCCAGCAAATATTTACAGAAGTGAGTATGAGGACCTATAGAAATCCTAAAGTGCCCATAGAAATAGCTATTCTTAATAAGTTATAGAATATGTGAGATCATATTTTTCTATTAATACTTAAATACATTTTCTAGGCAATTTACTGTATCTAAAAATGGATTGATACAGGGACTGCAGTTATGGGCTCAAGAGTGTCAGAGATGATGAGGACAGCACAGGGTTCACATCTGTCATTTACATGGTCACTGTTATACTCAACTTGACAATACCTAACAAGAAGTCACATATCAAAAAGCCAGGTGATTGCCTATTTCTACAAAGAATTTTTATATGAAAACTAAAGGCCAGAATTGAGGGAACAGATGAAGATACTCTAAAGATTGGAGGTTGAGGAGAACTGGGGCATTCATTAGTTGGAATGTGCCTAAATGCTTTTTTTGACACGGCTGCACCCATTCTGAGTTTGCTTTTAATAGCAAATTGTGACCAATAAGTCATAGTCTCAGGCCCTTTTCTCCTTAATTGGCTTAAAAAACCCCAACTAACCAATCATGTTTCATTTCAGGGGCTGAGATTGCCCATCTTTCTCCTACTGAATAGCTGGTGGATTTCAACACAGTGTCTTTGGGCTGGCAACACAATTCCTTACCACAAAGCCTCCAAAGTTCCCTATGCAGCCAACCAACCTTACAAGCTAGTAAAACAACTCACAGCTGAAAGATAACTCAGGTTCCATCAAGCACTGATACTGTTTGTCAACACTTTGGGGCTGTTTCAGATTCATGGATGGTTCTTGGCAGGCTTATATACTTTACCTACCTAACTTATGTTGTTTTGTTGTTTACTGTCAAACCCATAGCAGACCCTCCAGCAGGTTTTTAGAGGCAGTTAATCACAGGGCAGGAGATTGCCAATCCTTCTCCCTCCAGCAGCTGGTGGCCTCAAACTGCGTGCCTTAGGGATTGCAAAGTGGCTTATTGCCACTAGGCCATCCGAGCTACACTGTATCTACCTAACTTATAGATACATACAACTTTCTTTCTCTAACACTGGCTCTCACACACACACACACACACACACACACACACACACAACGCAGCCATTCCCGCTCTGACTCTCAAAGGAAGTCTGCCGCTGTGAGATTATGGAGACATGGGTGTCTTACCTTGTGTTTAAGCCCCTAGCACTGGTTGAACTGGCTGAACTGAGGAAAAGCCTTTTGTTCCAGGTATTTTATACAGAGACTAGCAGCCACTTAAAGCAATGACTGAAAATTTAACACTGATTTAAGATTGAGTTCAAATTTCCACTTAGAACTTTTACATCTTCCATTGAATTAATGCTGCTAATACAAAGGACTTTGGAAGCACAGCTAGTAACTACAGAGACTTATCAATATGTTGAAAATAAAAGCAATACTCTAGGTTGTGTCTAGCTGTTTTAATTATCACACATGTTTACCTGCTTTCCAACAGACAGGTTACAAACTGGTTACTAGCCTTAACTTCAAGTTGAATAATTTAGTTGATGCTTCCATGTTTTTTGTTGTTTCTCTGATGAAACCTTCTGGTCAAGTATGACACATTCCTTTAACTTCAAAGAGTTTGCATGTCACATTTAATTCTCACTTCTTTTCTCTCTACCCTTTTAACAATAGCTTAGTCTCCTTGGAGTATAAAATTGGTTAAGCGTGACATTTACCAAAGTTTTAAAACCATGGCTGGGCTCATATAGTGACTGGCAGTCAAGGACTTCTCAGACTTTAAAGTACTCTGCAAATCCATAGGATCGAGTAATTCATCTCATTCGATCTGTTCTTCCATATACACAGCACAAGTCAATGTTTGTTATGACTTTCTTGATCCTTATTTATAAGACAATACAAGAGGAAACCATGTGTGTATGTTTGAAATAGAAATGATACATTGCACAGATATAGTTCACCACGTTCTGAGATGGGTTGTCAGTGTTCAAATGGGGAGTCTGAAGAGTAGGAACAGATGCTTTTTTTCCTTAATGGCCCTTTCTCCTATTTAAAATCCTTCCATTTACTTCCCTAAGATTTAGTGATAACTTTAAACACTAACTAAATTACCCAGCGGCTTGGCAGCCATCAGAGAGGCAAATCTTTTTAGAAATCCTAGCAATCTGTTAGATTGTGGCCACTATGACACAAAGTCTGCATGCTCCATGTATAAAAATGAAATCAGTGCAAGGGATGCAAATACTTAATGCAAATGGCACCATTTCCAAACGAAGGGTGCATGACCTGCCTCTCTGCATATTGAATTTCTACATTTCCTTCAGTCACTGACTTCCTAAATTTGGGCCAATTTATTCTCATTATCCCTAAGTAAACCTACTTTGATTTCTAACTGTTATTTTATAATCAAAGAGAGCCAGTCAGCCCTGATTCCTGAATTTTGATGTTGCTAGGATACATGGATTGGTATTTGATGAAAATATATCACTTCACAGGGGAAAACTTTCAAGCGTCCTGGAAAATAACACTCCCGTCTTCTATGGTGGAAGACAGGTCCAATCCTGGAGCTTCTGAGAAGCTCACAGACTGCAGGATTGGCCTCCACAAGCTTTGAAACAAGCATCCTCTTTGGAGGGCTGTTTAATTGCAAAAACTAGCCAGGTTGGTCTTAAAACAAGGAACACACGTATTTATAGTAAAACATGTTTCATGTTTGTTTTACAGTGAAGAGAAAAAACCCAGAACCCCCAGATTTTATGTACTTTGAAAATATATTTAAAAACATTAAAAATTCTATATTTAAAATATTTATGTTTTCAGTTAAAACATATAAGTTAAACATGTTATTGTTATGTGCTGTCAAGT